TTCCCCCCAAACCCCTGCATCGATCTTCTTGAAACTTGGTAGGCTTCATTTTCTCTGTAGAGTCTACCACTCCTGAAACTTTCATCCGAATTGGACAAAAAACAACTAAGTTATAGATATTTTATTGTTTCCTTATTATACCCTATGGCCAGATCTCTGAGGTGGCTCCGAACCGCTTTGGGAAGCCAAACGAGGCAGCACTTCAACCCGGATGTGCTGCTTTGGACCCCAAAGCATCCAAAGCTTCTCTGGATCCAAAGCTCTGTCTGAAGGCTCGCAGAGCCCTAGTAGAGAGAGTACGCCAGAGGGGACTCGCTGAAATCAGTCTGCAACATTCTTTTGCAATATAGTATGGCAGGAAGAAGATTCATATCTATCACGATGATGCTTTTTGTTGTACTCCTCCCTTCTTCCATGGTATCCGAAGCATTAATGATGGAATAGGCATCTTGTATACAGACTGCACCCAAGAAGGTATATTCCTTGAAGCAGGTGGTGGTGGGTTGGATAGTGCCTACCCTCTCCAGGAACTCTGGTCTGAAATTAGCAACTGGAAGCAAAAGAAGAGATGGCAAAAAAAGGGGTAAAATGAAAAACAGAAAATGTCTTGAGAAAAGGCATGACTCAGATGAAAATTGTATCCTGCCCTTTAAGACAGAAATCGGAGTCAAGTGGATGGTCTAAACAACTCCAGTTCTTTGAGTACTCATCAGGAAAAAAAATCACAGAAGGTGGGCAGACCATCCCAGAGATGCAGCCTCCAGATTGACACATGAATTCTGACTTCAAAAGGGCAAATAATGCATTTCATGTGTGAGCAACATCTCCCCTTACCTTTTTCATTGCAGGCATGATTTTTTAGTAATCCGTGCTGTACATGCATTTCTTTGTGTCTTTCTTAGCTAACAGAAATGAGTCAAGAAAACCAGCTTTTCATCATGCATATGAACCCAGGAAATTCAGTTAAATTCCAGTGTTATCAGGATAAAAATTACTTTCTTCATGTAAATAAGGACTCAATTGATGTCTGCAAGTTTGAAGAGACAGAAGCAGATGCGGGGAAAGACTTTCATTTCAAGGTTGAATATGTGGAGAATGAGATACAAAATAGGAATAAACAATGTTAAGACCATGTAGGATTTATATCCTTAGCTTGTATAACTTTTTCTACATTCTTGTTTTATTCGAGCTTGATTTTGGTATTAAATAAGCACAGTGCCTCATTTGAGTACTGACTGGAGGAGTGGTTAGCTGTGTAGATAAACAATTGCTTGGTATATTGTTGTCTGAGGGTTGTATTTTAAAGGGCTGGAAGGGGAAGAATACAAGATCAAACATCTGAAAAATGGGGGAGGAAGAGAGAAAAATGATATGTAAAGGTTAATTAGAATTCATTTCATATTTTGTAATATAGAACTCTTACACAAACTAATTTAACTCAAAGAAAAAATATTTGTTAGCATGTACACCTTATACCCACAAAAACCAACATTAGGGAGGGTTTATGCAAGCATTTGGAGCTCTGAAAGGAACAAAGGAAGAGGGCTGTTAGATCAAGGCTATGCAGCAAACCTACTCTATCTCCTTTACTCCCAAATTAATCTATTTCCTTCTGTATGCAACTTCAGTGCCCTTTTATCTTTGCAGCCCTGCCTAAAATCCAGATATATTCATTGGGAATCATACTGTATTTGATAGGGGAGACAGATGTCAGACTGATAGAGTGTCACAAGAGGACATGTTCCCATGCTCTTA